AACATTCCTTATGTGAGCAATTACCAAACTTAGAATAAATTCCAATAATAACTCTAAAAGTGTGAAAAGTTAAATACACATTTTCCAACAATTAATTGCAATTTGTTCAGTGAAAATCCCACAGGATGTCCTTGCCAGAAAAAAATTATTCAATATAAGAAAGCCAAAAGCAAAGCAACTTAAATTAAAAACAGTGGGAAAGAATTACAAATAGAAAATTTTGATTTATTTATGAAGTCAAATACTTTGTCCCCGTTATTATTCTACTAAAGTTTGTTTTTTCTAATTACCCAAGGAAAAAAGTGCTAAGGCTAAATTAAATAGAAAGAGAAGAGAAAGACATCCATAGAGATCCACATAGCTGCATAAAATCAAGGAGGTAAGAATGACACACATTTCAGTAAGATATGTTTAATACTATATTGGGATAATACAAGATCTTGTAAATTACAGAATGTCCTACCCCGATTGATAGTGTTTGAATAATTTAAAACTTCTCAGATTTGTTACCAGCCTAAGTAGTAGTTTATCAAATAAGTCACCAAATGGTTTGTCTTCTACATCTTGATTGTTTATGTCAAGTCTCCCTTCTATTCCTTTTCTAGCCTCCTCATAACCTCTCCCACCCTTAGCAGGAACTCCAATATAATTAAGGAAAAGCCTGCTATAAATAATGACCATAATTTAGGAGTTGAGTATAATATATTAATCCAAAATATAAAAAACTTTGGAGAATTTTCCAAGAAACCATATCAAAAACTTTCCCAACGTCCCTACCGTCCCTGTCCTATTGTTTCTCTTATTCTTTTATTTTTCTTATATGTACCCATTTCATGTATTCACAACTATGTATACACTTATACTTATTATCTTGTAAACAATTGGCAAATCAAATAAATAAATAAATAAATAAATAAATAAATAAACGTGTCCTGTCTATTTTGAACTACAACCAGAACACTGATTAAAATTCTTACATCATCAGAAATTTGAGTCTTGTATAAATTCAGTTGAGCTGAATGCACAATTGTCAGAAGAATAAATTGCAATTTCAAACAAAAATAACCCTTAAAATCATCCTATTTGTCAAGGCAATGGGCTATAATTAGAAGGTATTGTAAAGTCATTCTCTGTTTTAAGAATCATTGTGATATTTGTCTCATTAAGCAAAAGGCAGAGATTTATGAGAAACACCTGCTACATATATGTCCATATAAATGAGAGCTAAAAACCAAGTACAATGTTGGCACCACTTCATTAGAAAAGAGGCCAGAAATCATTTCTGATTTTATATCTATAATTGCAGTTATAATTTCTTGAAATGAAAGTAGTGACTTGATCCTATGATCAATGTAGTATTCTTATTTTCTGCAAAAAAAAAAAAAAAAAGAATTGATTTCATCTTTCATGAGAACTATATAAAGAGCACTAGATAACAATCTGACAATAAGTATTAAAAAGTTATGATCTATTGGGAACAGATCCATTCTGGATGAAAGTTGAGAATTGACACTGATTTGATGGCTCATAATTCTAATCTTCAGAAAAATCTTAAATGAATAAGAATTAGTTGAAAGAGTATGACAATGATAATAATAGCAACATTACTGAATGGTTTGCTTTAGAATAAATCATATGTTGTTATATGCAGTATTACAATTTAAACATTGGTGTAACATACTGTCTTGAAAATAAAATATACAGTGAGTAGCTTTTCAATTTGATTCCTGTTATCTTCATGTTCCTGTCCATGTTTGTGCAATTTTCCACACAATGGTACAAAGATGGCTTGCCAATTGCCTTTTTCTGGAATCTTTTTTCAATTTCCCAATCTATCCTTAACAAATGTTTTAATATAAAACGTACAATATAAAAAAAATTATAAAATTAAAAACTCAAACTCATCGTGTGGTAATACACTTAATCAAACTGTATTCATTAAAAGTTTATTGTAACTTGTTTTGAGCTCTGGAACTGTAAAAGCTCCATTATCACTGATTCTTTGAAAATTCTAACTTTATTGCCCCTCAAAATCTGGAACAGCTCCACTGAATTCCACACACATAAGCAGAGGTGTACGCTTCCTTCACAATTTGCAATAACTACAACAAAAAGTCACTTAACAAGTGATATGGGCAGGGATGTGAGGAATAAATAAATAAAACCAAAAGATGTTCCTACCAAGGAACATATTGAATGTGTGTACCAACTGTAACTAGATTGGTGGTATGGTTCTGTCTAGCAATAAGGGGAAGAAGAGAAGCCATAGGCAGTTTCATGTCTGGAGATTTCAAAAGAAGCAGAGCCAGTACTTTTACAGGACCAAAAAGTTCCCAGGATTCCTCACCTACATAATTGACAATCTCTCAGGCTCAAAGGTTCAGTCCCCTGGACTTAGATAGAGTGTATAATGAAGATTTAAGAACACAGAGTTGGACTTCATAGATCTGAGAGGGGCTAGCTAAACAGCATGAGAGTGCTATCAGGGACCAGATTCTGAAGTTTCTATAAGATATTTATTTATTTATTTATTTATTTATTTATTTTTATTTATTTATTTGATAATAGGTATAAGTATATACATAGTTATGAATACATGAAATGGGTACATATAAGAAAAATAAAAGAAACAAGAGGACAGGGATGGTAGGCACGTTGGTGCGCTTATGCACGCCCCCTACAGACCTCTTAGGAAAGGAGTGAGGTCAATAGTAGACAGTCTAAGGTTAAAGTTTTTGGGGTTTGGGGAAGAAACTACAGAGTCACGTAGAGTATTCCAGACATTGACCACTCTGTTGCTGAAGTCGTATTTCCTGCAATCAAGTTTGGTGTGATTAACCTTAAGTTTGTATCTATTGTGTGCTCTTGTGTTGTTATGGTTGAAGCTGAAGTATTCATTGACAGGTAAGTCATTGCAATGTATGATTTTATATACCATACTTAGATCAGACCAAAGACAGCGTAATTCAAGGTTTTCTAGGTCTAGAATTTCAAGTCTGGTGGCATAAGGTATTCTACAACGAGTAGAGGAGTGGAGAACACTTCTTGTGAAATATTTCTTGACTTTCTCAGCTGTGCTAATATTAGATACGTAATGTGGGTTCCAGACTGATGAGCTGTATTCGAGTATTGGTCTAGCAAATGTTTTGTATGCTCCAGTTAGTAGTGTGATATTACCAGAGAAAAAGCTACGTAGGATTAGGCTAACAACTCTTAATGCCTTTTTGGCTATGTAGTTACAGTGGGCTCTAGCACTTAGATCATTAGAGATGAGTATTCCAAGGTCCTTTACAGAGCTTGGATCATCAACAAGATCTTGACTATTCAGCTTGTATTTTATTTTCTGATTTTTTTTGCCAATATGTAAGACAGAGCATTTATTTGTTGAGATTTGAAGTTGCCATTTGTTTGACCATTCTGATACATAGTCAAGATCTTTTGGAAGGGTAGCAGTATTGTCTGTGGTATTGAACAGCTTTACATCATCAGTGAAAAGAGTGCAGTTGCTCTTAATATGATCACAGAGGTCATTTATGTAGAGTATGAAGAGAGTTGGTCCTAGAACACCACTATTGACAGGTACAGATTTTGATAGGACACTCCCAATTTTGACCATTTGTTGTCTGTTTGACAGGAATGCCTCTATCCAGTTATGCAGTTGTCCAGAGATACCATAAGATTTTAGTTTTGGGAGTAGTTTGTTGTGTAACACTGAATCAAAGGCTTTACAGAAGTCTATGTAGATTGCGTCTATTGTTTTGCCCTGATCGAGTTGTGTAGTCCATATGTTTTTGCAGTGTAACAGTTGTAGATTACAGGATAGTTTTTTTCTGAAACCAAATTGTTTATTAGAGAGTAGGTTGTTTGTTTCTAAGTGGAGAATAATGGATTGGTTAATAATTGATTCCATGACTTTACAGGTGACGCAGCATAAAGAGATTGGTCTGTAATTATCAACTAGGATGGGGGTCTCCCTTTTTGAAGATGGAGAGGACCGTGGCTTGTGACCATAGGTTAGGCAAGGAGCTGGTCCTGAAAGATTTTTCAAAGATTATGCTTAGAGGTTCGGCTATGGCAGTGAATAGCTTTTTAAAGAAGTAGGCACATATCGATCCAGTCCAATAGACAGAGATAGTTTTAAATTGAGCAGTGCTTTTTCCACATTGTCTTCTGTAAAATCAATATGTATTAGATCATTGTAGTTTTCTGTGGTCCAGCTAGGAAATACTGGGCACGATCCATTGTTGTTTACAAATACTGAGCCAAAGAATATGTTAAAGAGGTTGGCTTTAATGGTGTCGTTGTTGCAGTCTTTACCATTAGGTCCTATCAGGGGTGGGATGGACCTTGAGTCTTTTAGTTTGTTGTTTACAAAATTGTAGAAAGCGCGGGTGGAATTGGTGCGTAGAAGGTTTTCCTCTTGTTTAATGTGATAATTGGTGCATTCAGTCTTTATCTGGTGGCATAAATTTTTGTATCGGCTTTTGAAATTGGCAACGTGACCAGATTTGTTTTTCCGCCAGAGCGATCTCTTTTTGGATTGAAGTTTCCTTATTGTTATGGGTAATCTGTTTTTTTGTTGTTGTTGTTGTTTGTTTTGGGAGTTGTTGGTGGTACATATAGTTTGATGACTCTTTTGACTTCAAGTAAAAATATGTTGTAACGGTCTTCAACAGTATTGCATCCAGCGAATAGAGATTGCCAATCAAGGGATGAGAGATCGTTGTCTATAAGATCATAGTTGCCTTTTTTGAAGTTATAATTGGGGATTCTGTCATTGTGATGATTTTTGTGTGGATGTATGTTGAGACAAAAGTCAATCATATTGTGGTCACTGTTGGAAAAGGGTTCTTTAATTTGTATTCCATAAATTAAATTCAAACTATTGTAGAAGATGAGATTGAGGCAGTTGTTTAGTCTAGTATTGTTGGTTACTAATTGTTCCAGACCCAGATTTGTAACAGCATTGTAGAAGGTTGCGTGTATGGGTTCAGTTGTACATTCATTTAGGGTCCAGTCAATATGAGGTAGATTGAAATCACCAAGAAAGATAAAAGCATGTGGGCAGGATGCTGCCCATGTTCGTAGTGAATTTAGCTTGTTTACATGTTTGATGTCATAATCAGGTGTTCTGTAACATAGTAAGAATCGAAATGTGACATTTAAGGATAGTTCACAGATGATGGTCTCAGGAAGAGCAAGCTCCTGGGTAACTTGGATGTTTTTTAGGTGTAAGGACTTTTTATAGAAGATAGCAACACCACCTCCTCTAGGGATTTCACGATCTGATCAGTAAACATGATAGTCTCTTACTGTGTTAATGGAGTCAGAGAGAGATGCGTTGAGCCATGTTTCACAGACAATATATATCAGTTATGTACAGAGTGGGGCCTCACTCTATCCTATTTATTGCATTCCTTCCCTGGGAAAACTGCTGAAAACTTTTCAAGACTCACTCTGACATACATGTAATGGTGATTTGCGGTATCTTGGACCCTGGATTTGTACAGGATTTCTCTTGCCTCTGGATTTCTTGCTTGCATGCTTGCTTGCTGGTTTGATCTTGATCCTGACCTGTTTGATCATGAGCACAGTTTAGTCTCCATTCAAAAACTGCTTATTCCCTGCTTCACTTCTCTTTGGTTGTGGAAGATTTAAAACTTACTGATTTACATTCTAGTACCTGAGGTGGCACAGAAAAGTTGAGTCCAGATCAATGACGTCTATCTAACAAACTCACTAATTTGAATTGCATTCACATTATCAACTAATAATTTTATTACTGTCAATCTCTTTGATTAGATATTGAATGTCTGGCTGGATCGATGTTCTGGGTTAAAATGGGTTTCCAAATTTCCAAATATAAACCAGGACTTTAGCAGCAATTCTATGGATTGCTGTCTGAAAAGCCAGCAGCTTATTTTTAAAGGTAAGTTCATACAAAGAGCAACAGTGGATAGAAGTTTGCAAGATGTGGGTGAAGGATGTTATAATTATTTTGGGAGGTCTACATAGGTTATTACAATAATTTTGGACTCTCATTGGAAAGAGGAATAAAGATACTTTCCCAATCAGTTTTGATTGAAATTCATTTGATAGACTTTTAATGAAAAAAGCCTTCCTCAGAAGTTAGGAAAATCAATAGCTTCAAAAATTAAGAAGTCTCTTAAATGCTAATCAGGCAAGTGTTGTCTTAAACAATAAATAATAAAAAACTTCCCTAACTGTTAGGATTAGAATTGAAGCGTCTTCAATGAGAAGGAAAACATTTTCAAAGGAATATAATCCTCATGTTGTGTGAAGGTTGTGGCTTCACCCACTCACCACAGAGGACCTTGGCATTCCTCCCTAAATGCCCTGCCTCATTGCAGGATAAGAAGAGAGTGGGAAGGGACCAGAAGGTCATCTAGTTCACCCCTTGCCTGAGCTTTTACAAATCATGAACAGACTCAGTTCATGTTTTGGAGGAGAGACACACTTCTCCAGTATTTTCCTTGAAAACAACATTTTAAGCATGGAAAAAAAGAAGAATTTTACCCACAAAATTAATTACTAGTTCATAATATTTATAATCCATCAATGCAAAGTTCTTTGGTTGTTTAACTATCAGCAATCAAGTTACTCTTGCTCATAAAGTGAAACCCATTAATAGAGAGGTCATTTAAGCACTCCAGAAAGTGGGTGGGCATATTTGGGCTACAAAATGCTAGAGACAAATTAACATCTGCCTTTGTTCAGACCTTGCTGCAGGGAATTTTTGCCTATGGATATAGCTATCTGTCTCTTTATCTCTTAAGTGCTGACATCTTCTGTGGGCTACCAAGGAAGATGAGGTTTCTGCTTTCTTCCTCTAAGAAAACATGTTTCTCCATTTTTCATTCAGAGAAATATATATCTCCTTTTTAATATTTCTCAAAATATTTCATTCTTCTAGGACATTAACTTTCTATTAACATTCTAGGACATTAACTGGCTATTAACTTTCTATAATGGGTGCCATGTTACTATGCCATATTATCATGAAAGAAAACTAAAACAAATTGGAAGGAAGATCCACTTGTGATCAGTGAGCAATCATGTGCCTTGCCCACTCCAAAGCAATGCAAGAGACTCCTGTCCCAAAGGTAGAGCATACTGCCAAGAACCATTACAATGCAGCAAGCTTAATCCAGAGGCAATTTCTGAAAACATTTAAAACAGCAGGGCAATTAAGATAAGGATTACGCTTGGGGAGAGCGAGGCTGGCGTCACAGCGATATGATGCATCCTAAGGGGCTCTGTGGGACCGCGCTGAAATTCGAACTGCAAGGAGGTTCTGATGGATCTGAATCACCTCAGAGGGGTGATGAAGTAAGAGAGCACACGCCGCTGATCTCAGGAAGCCCACAAACTTCCTGATCGATTCAGAGAAGGGTCTCAATCCAGCAGAGAGAAAAATATGGCCACTGCATGACTGATCAAAGCTGGGACAGCTGACCGATGAAGAAAGTGTGAAAAATTGAGGAACGGTGTGAACAATCAAATAGTAAACAAGAGGACTTTTATAGTAAACTTCATCAGAAAATAGTAGAATTGGAGTACGAATGTACAAAAATTGAACATAGAAACAAGTAATTGGGCAGACCATAATCCAATAAAAGTTACATGGAAAGGACAAAAAGAAAACTAAGATGGATGTTGAATCAATCTATATTAAAAGATAAGGAATTTATTCAATTCATAGAAAAAGAATTAGATTTTTTTCTTCAAAGAGAATAGAAAAGAAGAGACCTTACTACAAAATGTAGGGGAGACAACCAAGGCATATATTAGAGGTTTAGTCATAACTTATATGGGAAAGAAAAATAATAAAAAGAAACAAAATCAAAAGACATTGGAAGAAGAATATAAGAGACTAGAGACAGAACTACAAAAAGAACCACAAAAAAGAATTTTAAAAGTCAAATAAAACACAAGTTAAATATAATAGATAAAGAAGAATTAGTACAAAAAAATTAAAAACACTACACATTTTTTTTTTGTGAAAATGCAAATAAACCAGGAAGATGGCCCGCATACAAACTGAAAAAGGAGAATGAAAAAAATTGATACATCAATTAATGGATGAGGAAGGAAATCTGTATGATCAAAATGATGATAAAAAGAAAGTGATTCAAAATTATTATGGAAAACTGTATGACCAAGAGACAGTTTCAGAAGACAAAATAAAACAATACTTTAAAAAAGCAGAACTACCTAAAACGCATGAAACAGTAAAAGCCATGTTAGATGAATGTATAACAATGATGGAACTAACAGAAGCAATTAAGAGACAAAAAAAATGGGAAAACATCCGGCTCAGATGGTCTACTAGCAGAACTTTACAAAGGTTTGCAAAATATTGTAAGTATACCAATGTTGGAAGTGTTCAATGAAGTACTGTTAGATGCAAAAGTACCCCATTCCTGGACAGAAGCATACATCACACTCATACCAAAAAAGGACTCAGACTTACAACAGATAAAAATTATAGGCCGATATCCTTATTGAATATGGATTATAAAATTTACGCCTCAATAATTGCAGAAAGTCTTGAAAGATTTTAAAATCAATTTGTACATCCAAACCAAAATGGATTTCTACCTAAGAGACAAATTAAAGACAATATGAAAATAAACATGTTGGAGTACTACGAAGCACATCCAGGGAAGCAAATGGCATTGATCTTAGACACACAGAAAGCATTTAACAGTTTAAACTGGCAATTTATACTAGCATCGTTGAAATATATGGATTTTGGGGAGAGATTTATTAATATGATTAAGGCGATATATTATAAGCAAACACCAAATGTGATGGTAAATAGATTGATGACAGAGAAGGTTGTTATTAAAAAAGATACAAGACAAGGATGTCCCTTGAGGTAATCCTCAACTTATGACTACAATTCAGCCCAAAATTTCCATCGCTAGCTTAAGTGGGTTTTGTCCCATTTTATAACGTTTCTTGCCACAGTTGTTAAATGATTCACTACAGTTGTTAATTTGGTAATACAGTTGTTAAGTAATCTGGCTTTCCCATGTACTTTGCTTGTCATAAGTCAAAAGATTATCATATGACCTCAAGACACTGCAACTATCATAAACATGAGTCAGTTGCCAAGACTCAGAATTTTATTCATGCAACAACCATGAGGTTGTTGAAACAGTCATAAGTGTGAAAAAGAGTCATACATCACTTTTTTACTGCCTTTCTAACTTTGAAAAGTCAGTAAATAAAGGTTGTAGGTTAATGGCTACTTCTACATATCTTAACAGAGGTAAATGATTGTTAAATATGTGGAGTTGTTACAAAAATATATTCACAAACTAGTGAATATTTTCAGAATAATATATTTAAATACTATTGGAAAGAAAAGAAAAAATCATTCTATATACTAACTGGTGATAATACTGAAACATGATCAACTATAGCAATAAAACCTAATTTAAGTAATCAATTAAAGATAAGCTACTTAAAAATAACAGTCTGTTGTTTTGTTACAGATTTAAAAATCAATAAACATTCACCAACATTCACAGCAAATAGATATTCTCTGTAACCAGAATTAAATTTTAATTCAAGCAGTATTACAATTTAACAGAGAATATAAAGCTTGATTAAAATCTCCTGGCATAATTAACTGATCCATCACCAAAAGGAAAAGTTTGTATTTATTTTATTGCTCTTTAATTAATAATAAAAGAAAAAAAGCAAAACAAATGATAGTGATACATTGCTCAAGCAACAAAGAAAACATAAAAAACGCTATACAAAAAAAGTAAAGAAAATACAACAAAAACATACTATATGTCATTATAAAAATAACAATTCTGTATTTACTTGACTAATACTATTTACTATAATACTATTTATACTATAAATACTATAATAGTATTTACTATACTAATAAAGAGAGAAGACGGCAAGGAAGTAACAGGCAACAGAAAGAAAGCAGAACTGCTTAACTCATTCTTTGCATCTGTCTTCATG